AAAAAAAAAAAAAATCATAATAAAAAATAGTTACGAATAAAACAACAGGGAAAAATAAGAGGAGACGGTTGCAGCACAGTGTGGGGGATTATTTCGAATCATGGGAGATGTTGTTTTTATCTTGTTTCTATTCAGTCCTTTAATTACGGAGCCCCGCAGGGAACATGGGAGAAAAAAAAAATTAAGACGGACTTTTGCGAGATCTCGCAAAAGTCCGTCTTAATTGTTACGAATAAAACAACAGGGAAAAATAAGAGGAGACGGTTGCAGCACAGTGTGGGGGATTATTTCGAATCACCAGGTCAAATGTGTGTGAGAGAGTGAATCTGAATGATGTGTTTTACTTTCTAAAACTATGGTTGTTTAGCATGTAGTTAAAACCCTGCTGCTAAGTGGTGCACTGGTGACCTGTGGGTAGTTAACAGATTAAAATGAATAGAGATGGCATGAAAATATTACATCTGTTAGTTTGTACATTAATCAGTGTTCCTGTAACTTCTCTGTTCACATCAAACCGTTGTGTGAGTTAAAATGTAAAAGCTAAATAATGCTGACAAAGTGCCTGCACAGTTTCAAGGTTAGCCTTTCTATCATCCAGTAGAAGATGCACAACACCTGGGTCTCATAGCTTAATCAGAATGTTTCACTAAAGGAGTAAACGTTAATATACTTCACAGTGAAAATATTTGGAAGTGAGGTACTCTCTAACATATAATACACATCCCATCAGATAACAAGTGCAACATTGTAATACCGCACATGACAAAACATTGTCTGTTTAATCTGACCTCATAGATTGCTCTATGATGGAGTTGAACACATCTTGTTATTATTTCATATTCTGACTGATAATTGTATGTCCTGCAGGTGCGACGGGATCAGGTCCCTGTCATCTATTACACAAACCTCCTGATCTCCAACCTAATCCAGATGTGCACTATCATCATTATCGTGGCAAAACCAGATGATCATGAAACCTACATGATGTCTTTTGTTATTTACTATTTCGGTGTCCAGGCCAGTCTTTACTTCAAGTTGTGCATTGCTCTGGAAAGGTACCTGTCTAACTTTGGGTGTGTGTACTTGCATGTGCTTGAGTACTATATTGTACTGTGAATCATCCATATTTTTAGAAATAATATATTCTCTACTGTAAAAATTAAGTTATCTGTCTGTCTTGTGTTGCAGGTGTTTTTTCATCACCCGCCCACTGATGGACTTTATGAGGCAAACCAGGAGTTCTGTGCTGGTCTGCATTCTGGTCTGGGCCCTTTGTGTTGTCAGTGTACCTGTGGCCATAGTCTTGCGTTATTTTCTACGAGTCCTTATTTTGATCCTAGTCCCTGCCTTTCTGTTCATCATCTGTTTTGCTGCGACCCTCAAAGCCCTGCATGCTGCCTCCACAGTGAGCACCGAGGAAAAGCGAAGAATTGTAGGAACTTTGGTTCTGTTGCAGCTTAGTTACTTTCTGATGATCCTACCTGCAATTACTGAGTTAACTTTTGAATTTCACCCACATGACACTGTCAGAGATGTTGTTTTCATCTTGTTTCTACTCAGTCCTTTTATGGACCTGATTTTGTTTTTTCTCATGCAGAAAATGCCCACTGACAAGCGGCTGGCTGGTTTGTGCTGCTGCAGTAGGTGTAGCAGCAGCTCATCATTGTGAGGATAAAGCAAACGGCTGTTGTACTACAGATTTAAGCAGCAAAAACTATTTTATTTTATATGCTCGAACATGCAGAAAATAGGTTTAAATGTTAAACAAATGTCTTCCAGTCAGAGAATGTTGCATATAATTTAATTTTTGCTTGATGCGTAAAGTTAAAAGATTAAAAATAATAAAACTAGTTTTAAAAAGAGACTTTTTCATTTGATTACATTTTATATGATGGATTATTCAGAGAAACTAGAATTGGTCTGAAAAATCTATCGCTTTATCACCTATTCAGGTTGTAAATCATGTTTTTCAAAAGTAACTAAGTAACTAATTACTTTTGAAAATAAGTAATCAGTAAAGTAACAGGATTAATTTTTGGGGGAAGTAATAAGTAGTTAGTTACTGATTACTTTTTTCAACTACCTTGACCAACACTGGTCTTGTGTTGCCATCTGCAACACTTGACCACTGATGGACTTTATGAGGAAAACCAGGAGTTCTGTGCTGGTCTGAGTCTGAGTTAACGTTTGAATTTCACCCACATGACACTGTCAGAGATGTTGTTTTTATCTTGTTTCTATTCAGTCCTTTTATTACGGAGCCCCGCAGGGGACATGGGAGAAAAAAAAAATTAAGACGGACTTTTGCGAGATTCTCGCAAAACTCGGGATATTGCAAAATTTTTTTTCTCCCTATGCCCCCCGGGGGCTCCATATTTTATGGACTTGATTTTTTTTTTTTGCAGAAAATGCTCACTGACAAGCCGCTGGCTGGTTTGTGCTGCTGCAGTATGTTGCAGCGGGCCATCAGTGTGAGGAAAAAGCAAACGGCTGTTGTAGCTTTAAGCAGTACTGTGACAATAAATCTGCATCTCCATGTGAATGTATTCATTTCAGAATTTTATTTTATAATTTTAGTTCTATAGTGTTAGTTGCATTTTATTTACTATATAGAGAAATCTTTTACATTACAATGTTCACTGCAGTTTAAAATTATAAGGCAAACTTACATCCATCTACAGAAGCTTTTGTCTCTGCTTTTTCCTCAGCCGTTCCTAATGTCTAGACTAATTTCTTCCTGGTTAAATAAAGAAAATAATATAAAGCACTATTTTTTCCATAAATTCTTTTGTTATTTTGTGTTTTGCTTTATGATGTCATGTACCATCTATGGTCTGAATTGCTGTTAGTAATGCTGCTGTGTTTTTTCCAGGAGGACTCATGAATCAGATCACGGTGGTATTTCACTAAACTCCACAATGAGAAATAAACATTTAAGCATTTCAAAATTCATAACGATAATGGTTTAAATTTGAGGATACGATTTAATGCTCTCGGACTTTCAGCTCAGACATTTTTAAAATATATTTGACCACTAGATGGCGCCATGGTGCTCTCAATAGAGGATGCTTTAATGTTAGTTTACCTCCACTTTTTTTTTAGATTTGAAGAATCATAGAAAATAGACCAGTGTGAGTGCTCTTGGCAATAGCTTTGTATACATTTATGATGTTATATTTTTATTCTAAATCCAATCTGGAAGCTGGATCCACATAGGGCTGCACTGAAAACTGAAGGCTCTGCCTCCCATTCTACTTTTAAATACTCCAACCACAAGTAAGCCTGCAGTCTGAGACCAAATAAACAGATTTTTATTTAAACCATTCATCCATTTTCATGCAATTCAATTTGCAATTCATTGTAAGACGATGGCTGCAGTATCCCAGCTGCCATGGGGTGAGGGGTGGGGTACATCCTGTACAGTTCTCCAATGTCACAGGACCAATACTCTTTTTAAATTTCATGATTGTTATAACCACATACTGAGCATTTATCATTAAAATTTTCCACTTACATTATATCAGACCATATATAATTTTCCTCAATTTGCACGTTTTTAGCTATTACAGGGGGTCCCAGAACATAACGCGATGGTGAAAATCCACAAAGTAGAAACCATTTGTATGTTTTATTACTTTAAATATTCTAAGCCATAAAAAGCCTTCCCACACTCTTGTAAAGCATTGCTAGCTCCAGCTCTCCCTCCTGTTTCAGTCTCTCTACGTCTACAGGCCTGACACCAACCTAAAGATGGTTCCCATGGTGAAATGGGAAGAGTCATCTCCTATTACAGGGAGATGTCCAAAAGGTGCGAAAGTTGAAATGTGATCCGGATATCTGAACCGTGGTCTTGCCTCAACTTTTTGACCAATCACATGAACGTTCAGTGTTTATGACACACAATAAAATTCCTTCCTGGATGCAGCATCCTTTGTCTCTCTGAGCTGTGGAGAACCAGAGGTCCATGGCACCATGAAAAAAACGAAACAAAAATTTTAACCGTTTGATAATAAATTTTGAAAACGTATAATTAAGCATATTGTCTTCTCTCAAAAGAAGAACATGAGAATATATAAAAGTGCATCTACCGTATTTTCTGTACCATAAGTGTGTGAATGTGAGATGAATAATGGAATTGTAAAGCTCTTTGGGTGCCTTGAAAAGCGCTATATAAATCCAATCCATCATTATTATTATTATAAGGCGCACTGGATTATAAGGCCCATTAAGTGAAAAAAAAAAAACCAGTCAGATAAGTCAAACTTTATTCAACATTGTTGAAGAGGGTAACATTCTTCAGTTGTAACACAGAAAATACAGAACAATACACTCACTTTTTCAGTTCATTCCTATTCCACAAATCCATCAAATTCTTCATCTTTGCTGCTGCTCTTTTACTATGTTCTACTGCTTAATTGATAGCCTTGAGTTTGAAATCTGCTTCGTAAGAATGTCTCTTAACAGGTGCCATTTTGGGGTCCTTGTACACACACAATACGGTAATTATGTTGATGCACAGTACTTATTACTCCATGAGGCTCCTGACTACGGTAGCCTTAATGCTCTGACCATCAAGTGGTGCCGCTTCATAGTTTACCAAAGTCGTACTAAAACATGTAGAACAGATTTTTGCGCGATGTAGCACAAAAAAATCGGTTTGAGGTCAGTAAGCACAACCAGAATTCATACATAAGGTGTAATGTTGATTTTTGAGAAAATTAAAGGACTTTAAGTGTGCCTTATAGTCTGAAAAATACAGTAAATACATTGTTAATAACTTATTTAAATGATACCATGCAAATGTTATATATGAGCTCGTTAATGAAGAATAAATATTTATATCTGTATTTATAAATTGTAGTAGAGAACTGAAAATGAGATCTTCTGAATCTCTTATTATCACAAAAATGGAAAAGAAAATTGAAAAGTTACAAGCAGTGGTAGTAAATCAGCGCACTCCAATGTTTAGATGCAAGATGATATTACACATACACCAGTGCGTTAGATCAATTAACCTGATTTCTTTAAATGGGACATGACACTGCACAATGGGATTTGAGTTAATTGATTTCATTCTGTTTTTTATAGTTACATGAACAACAATAAAGACTTTTTAATTTATTTATGTTATCATATTTTATATTATCAAGTACAAACTGTATTTTTTGAAAATTGGTTTTTATACATGCTTTTCTACACTTTCAGACTGCAGAAATCAAAGGGATTTAAAGCAATTCTAAGAGTACATGTTGATTATTCTGTCGGGTTTTCTTAACATTTGGGGGGAAGTAATTTGTTGTTGGATCACTGCTGAAAGAGCAGATAGTTTTACAGCCAACGGCACAAAAGAGCAAACAAATATTGTCTCAGTAAAACTAAAATAGATCAAATAAGGAATTAGGAATGAAATGTTGATTGTATTAATTGATACATATAATATATATTTTAATCCATGCTAATAAACAACAGAAACATTGCCTGAACAGTCATTTCCCATTAAGCCAACAATCCAACAAAAAAAAGCTTCACTTATCTACAGTGAGGCAACTCGGAAGTTGCACAATTTCCTTCTGATTTTATGTTGTTGTCACTGAAGTTCTGAGATCATTGTTGTCCAATTTGCAACAACACAGACAACTAAAAAGCTTGTCTAACACCCATTTGTTAATGAAAAAGTACATAATCAAGTCTATAAGGGGATTCAGCTGAACTAAACTGCAGGTAGTGTCATACACAAAGTAAAAAGTCTGCTCATCCACATCTGTCAGGTACAGTATTTCCAAAATGGTTCTGGGCACAAACACCAATATGTAAATAAGCACCACCAGCACCAAAACTGCCACAATTCTTTGTTTTTCATCAGTGGGGACACTGGTTGCAGACACGGCTTTAATAGTTTTAATAAGGAAGAAAAAGAGAAGAGGAAAGGGAAGGACGAGGAAGGCGCCCAAAAAGTTTCTGTGTAAGAGGCCAACAAAAATAGAAATGATCCAGACCGAGACACAGACCACCACAGTGACCTTGATGGTTCGTCTGTCTTGGTACCACATTGGATGGGCAACAACCAAATACCTGTTATACAAGAAAGACACACAGAGGAGTTGACATGGAGAGGTATTAAAAAGATATACTAATGAAAAGCAATAAATGCTCAGAGAATTACATAGCTACAAACACGCAGCACAGATGTTTACCTTTCCATGGAGACACACACCATGAAGCTAACACTTGCCATCAGACCAGAAGGGTAGACAAAGAAAGAGAATATTATCTGTGTGAGGAAGTCCTTGACACCTGACATGTGAACGACCATACAGAAGAGCTGAACAAGGTCAGAAATGTAAAGGTTGATGAGATAGATTTGACCGATGTGACCATTTCGCACCTAAAGGAAAACAAAGTAAACTATAAACATGTTCAGTCAACACAATTTAGGCATTATGGTTTCCACATAAAAACATTTCATATAACATACTACACACTAAAGACTTGCAGATTAATACTTGTTCTTATTTACATAAATAAATACATTGCATGTTATTTTTTAAATTAAAGTCCATTTTTGTCTTTTTTTTGCCAGACTGAGCTTGGGATGGAGTATTACATTAAGAATTATGAGGTGAAAATGGGTTGATGTTTTGACATTATAGAATACTACAATGGTAAAATACAAGGAAAAAAGTAGTTTAAATGTGTTCTGTGTATTCAATGCTAAAAGAACTAGTACTTATATATACTTATATAGCACCTTTCTACTCAGCTGCACACACATTTAATGTTGTGACTCATTGCCAGACTTTGTAACACTGAAACTTAGTTGCATAATGATACAAAACTATATTTTATATTTTATGTTGAATTGAATGGATTTGTCTATGTTGCTTTGCTAGTGATTGCCACTAATAAATTAAATAAATGATTGTTAAAACTGAAACTTTCATTGTGAGTACTGACAAAAAAATAATTTTGAGATCTATAAATGGTAAAATGGCCTGTATTCATATAGCGCTTTACATGTTCAGTTATCCACCCATTCACACACTGGTGATGGCAGCTACATTGAAGCCACGGCCGCCCTGGGGCGCACTGACAGAGGCACCCCAGGGCGCTGCAGTATATAAAAGCTGCAGTAGTAATGGGCTGTTGTCAGAGTACAGTCTAGGGTAGTGTACTAAAGCAAATGGACCCAAATCTGCAGTGTGACTTACAAACCTGTTGCAGCCACAACAACCTGGTGCTGAATGCCCAGAAGACAGTGGAGATTATTGTGGACTTCAGGAAGCACACAGCCCCACTCCCCCCCATCATCCTGACTGACACCCCCATCACCTCTGTGGACTCATTCCGCTTCCTGGGTACCACCATCACTCAGGACCTGAAGTGGGAGCCCACCATCACCTCTGTCATTAAGAAAGCCCAGCAGAGGATGTACTTCCTGAGGCAGCTGAAGAAATTCAACCTGCCAACACGGACGATGATGCAATTCTACACTGCAATCATCGAGTCCATCCTCACCTCCTCCATCACCGTGTGGTACGCTGGAGCCACTATTAGGGACAAACAGAGACTGCAGCATGTTGTGCGCTCTGCTGAGAAGGTGATTGGCTGCAGACTCCCATCTCTGCAGGACCTGTGCACCTCCAGGACACTGAGGCGTGCAGCTCGGATCTCAGCTGACCCTTCTCACCCTGGACACAGTCTGTTTGACCTGCTCCCCTCAGGCAGGAGACTCCGGTCCATTCGCACCAGAACCTCTCGCCATAAGAACAGTTTCTTCCCCTCTGCTGTTGGACACATGAACAATAACCGTATGACTGTTCCCACCACTAACACATGACCCTACGCTGTGTCACTGCATCATTTCATGTTTGGCACTGATCACCACCTGCACTCATGTATATATCTTTCTACGTAGCACTCTTAATTCTTATTCTTATTTTTATGTTTTTCATGTCTATTTAAGCGTAATTTATGACAGTATGTTTGCACTGAAGCACCGCAGCAATTTCCTAATGTTGTAAACCCGCTCAACATTTGGCAATAAAACCCTTTCTGATTCTGAAAACTGCTGTAAAGTCTTTGGGCGTCCAAAAAAAAAAAAGCAGCAGCAAAATAACTGAAGCAGTTTCCGTTATTCCAGAGCTGTTCAGTGAGCTATCAATAGTGTTGCAGTCTGTATTTAATAGGATGAATTCAAATTTGTAACTATGCAGTGCTAACAAAAACAGACAATTAGGTGCACTGCTCTCCTTACCTTCAAAAGTAACAAAAATAATGGCTTTTGATGTAATGTATTCTTTCATTTGAACAGTTATGATGTTGCAAAGTCACCCTTCTTGATTAAATCATATGATTTTTTAGCTTTTCACCTTTTATTTACTGTGGCTTATTTACTTTAGTCCCAAAGTCAAAGTGAATCATACAAAACCCAGATCGTAGTAAAACAATCTTATTCATAATATACACACCTTTATGCAAAGAAAAAAGATTGCCAGTGAGGTCAAAGGAAGGCTGACACAAACAATTATCCATGTCAAGATGCTAATGCTGTCCTCAAAATACCAGCAGAAGTCCTTAAAATCTGTGTAGTTGCCATAATTGTTGCAGCTGCTGCTGGTAGTTGAATTTTGAGTCAGTGAAGTCATATCAATTTTCTTTAAAGAACCTTTAAGAGAGAAATTAACGGTTAATAACAGTGTTCAGCTGCATGTTGCAAACTAATGCAAAATTTATCACTAACTTCTCTCACTGGTGTTTCACTGTTGTTTTTCCAGCTTAACTGTGCTTCTCAATATGTTGCTTTCTCAATGATACATCAAACAGAAACAACTATTTGGCAAAATATTACATTCTGAGAAGGCTGAAAGGCCTGAGCTTTTAACCCCAAGAGCCACAGTGAACTGTCACAGCAACAGACTAAATGTAGTATTGGACTAAAAGCTCGTTCGCATGAGTCCAAATGTTCAGCCTTTGGATTGGTGAAACTAGACTTTTTAAGACTTATAGTTCTGTCACTGTTTTTATTCAGATGTTCCCAGGCATGTCTCGGCTCCCTCTGTTTCCTCTTTTTCTGTCAGTCCATGTCTTAAAGTGTGTCTCTGTTTTCCTATTTTACTTTGACAGTTTCACATCTTATGTTATTGTGTTCAGTTTTCCTTCCACCCACCTGATTATGTTTAAACTCTCCCAGCTGTGTTTCCCATGTGATTCCACTTCTCTTCTCACCCCTCAGTGTATTTAGTCCTCTTTTTCCCTCTGCCCATTGTTACGTCTTCCCCCATGTTGCAATGAAGCTACCTTCTATAGTTCCCCCCTTTGTGTTTTGAGCCCTGCGTTTGGGTCCTACTCCTGCCTACCACACCGCTCACAGCACCCTCATGACACAATACACATGATTTATACCTCATATTTCTATAGACACAAATAAAAATAATGCAACTACAGTTTTGCAAATACAAAGCCTGAAGTTTATAAGCATAGTTACCTTTGATTGTTTCAAGATCACTCCTCAGGTCTCTACACCAGTGTTTGCTGCTTTGTCCTCTGCATTAAAAACAGTCTACAATAAATATGAAAAGTGATGACAACGTGCCACTGGCTGATAGTTATCAACACCGGCCCTTCTAGCCACACCAGGTCCAGGTGTATCCATGCTACTTATTGGCTAAACATTTGACAAAATGTCTGTGAGCCAATCATTTCGCCTCATTTTAAAACAGTTCCTTCCTCTGCTGCCATCAGCTATCATCTCTGTCAGATCAAGAGGAAAAATGTTCACAACAACTGTTCTGATGTATGTTGGCCCGGTCTTTGCATGTTTAAGCGACACTAAACATAAGAAACAACTTTGCATTTTGTTTTTAATCCATCTATCTTCCCTAAAAATCGTCCCTAGCAATGGCCCATATGGCCCTGTGACCATATGGGCCAGTCAAAGTTTATTTGTGTAGCTACACTTTAATCAACCTCAATTACAAGTTCTACAACATATATACTATATAAAACAGTGACTGAATAACAATAAATATACACTAAAAAAATCGAATAAAAGAAGTAAATAAGCCAGCATTAAAAAGGCTTCATGGCATCTCCTGATAAACCTGGACCTGAAATTTCCAGGAGCAGCTGGTTCATAGACCTCATTGCTCTGTAGGATTTTAAGATTTCAAAATTTGAATGACTTCCTTTCCTCACAGTTGTGCTGTCACTGTCTGCTTACACAGAAGCTGTAAAAATTATTTATTTAATTTTGGAGCCTATTTTATGATAGATAAAGAGTAGAGAGAATAATAAAAAGGGGAATGACATTCAGGAAATGGTCCTGGGTAGATTCAAAACCAGATTCCTGCAGCCATTCTGATTGCCAACTCACCCATACCTGGGACTGGAATGTTACTTTATAAGTAAATAGTGTTATGTCATTTTGAATAATGCTAATGTTACCATAAACTAGTTGAGGGTGAGGAGAAGAAGAGAGACAAAAGACGCACTGTGGAAGAAAAATTCTTCTATAACAGATCAAATTAGTTTACCACATCACATCCTTTGAAATTTATAAGGTGAATTTTGCAAACAACAAGGAATACAAATTTAAATATGTGGCCTTTCCCTTTTTTTTCTGGGCAATGATCAAAGTTTCCTGTAAATGGTAAATGGACTGATTCTTATACAGCGCTTTTCTACTCTCCCGGAGTACTCAAAGCGCTGTACAGATTTTTCATGTCTGTTACATTATGGAGTAGACACATTATTTGTCCTACTATAAAGGTTTTGTGAACAATGAAAGGTTGAAGACATAACTGCTTGGAGGCTTTTAAAGAATGCTATTTTTATAACAGCATGGAAATGTTTTCCTATCTGAGCTCACATCTTTTTCCTGGAAAAATGTAAACTAAGCCCGCAGCTTGTGTTTAATTTATGTCTTTTGTATGACGCTCACTGCATGTGTATTCACAACATGAGACAAACGAATTAAGTAAAGAATTTTAGTTGCTGATCTGATCAAACAGCTGATAAATAGCTGGAAATGACAAACTTTTCCTTTAAAATTGTTACAGACCAAATCACTCAACACATCAACACAAAGTTGCAATACAGCACCATGCAAACTTCCACTCAAAGATTGTTACACTTACTTCTCTGTTGACTATTAGCACAGAACTGTTTTCACATAGTTGAGACCAGGAAGCTGAGTTGCCCTTTCTGTCCTTTTGTCATCCCCCAAAACCCAAATCCCATAAAGATTGTGTCTGCTCCCAAACCATCAGAAAACTAAACAAAACTAGCAAAAAATAAAAAGATTAAAGCATAAACATTGACAAAGAAAGAACAATATAGTATCTTGCCCTCAGTGCATCATGGGAAGCCCCAGCAGCTTAACTAGGAGAGGATTGCAGGATACCTGACTGTTTTTATATGCAGAAAAATCTCTAAACTCTCATTTCTCTCAGAAGTCTTGGAAAAAGTAATTCTCCTTCAACTTTCATATATAAACATACCAACATACCCTAACCCATACCAACAAAGCACAGAGTGTGCCCTCCTAAAAGTATACAATGAAGTAGTCCTGTCAGTAGACTGTGCCATCCTCATCCTCCTCAACCTCAGTGCTGCATTTGATACCACTGGTGAAAATATCCCTGTCCCCCAGCACTTCACTGGTTTACCTCATACCTGTAAATCTGATCCTTCTCTGCCAGCACTGCAAACTATTCTTCTACAACAACAACACTTTGCTACGGGTACCTCAGGGTTCCATCTTAGTTGCTATATTGTTCTCTCTATACCTGCTTTCTTTAAGAAAAATATCAGTAAAAGTAATTTCTCCTTTCACTCCTTTCACCTTCACAAGACAGCTTCTTCCATCTGTGCTCTGTATGAAATATTACATGTTTCCTTTGTGTGAGAGATTGCGAAATTGTCATTCATGCTCTCATTTCCTCTCAGAGTACTGCAATTAACTTTACATTAGTCTCAATCAATCCTCTCTTTTCCATTTTCAGCTTGTTCAAAATGCTGCTGCTCACATCACACATCTCACCTGTTTCAGCTTCTCTACATTGGTTGTCGGTGAGGTTCGGAATCGATTTCAAGACCATCCTGTTTGCCCACAAAGCCCTTTTCTACATCTCTGACCTCTTTATTCAGCTTTCAGGTCCCTCTGGTGCGATGCTTCTGACTATGTCTCACTCTTGATTTAAACTCAGAGGGTGAGCGTTTTGTGTGCCCTCAAACTGTGGGACAGCATTCCCCTCACAGTCAAATCTGCTAGAAACAACCCATATTGTTATGGTTAGTGTTGAAAGCTGCTGTCAGCAGTGTGGTAACAACAGTCTCTTTACTCATGAAATTTCCTATCTTTAACTACACTTATATTTACTCACTGACATTTGAGTCTTTCTGAGAGCTCATTGTGTCTCCTGTGCCATTTTTCGGCCATGAGTGTGTGTGTTTAGCACCTAATAAATGTACCGATTTATTTCTTATCTATTACCTTGTTTTTTTATTGTTTTGCTTTGGGTTTTTTTTTTCTTCTTCTCAATTTAACCTTTGCACAGCACTTTGGTCAACACAAGACCCTGGCTTCTATCGATGTTGTGATTAGAGCTTGTTCCTGTGCTGCCATGATTAGCGCCTCTGTGCTGTCTTTCCTTTAGTCCAGTTTTTGTATCTGGCAGTGGTACATACTGTGCAGGATTAATGTTGTTGCTGTAGAGCCTGGTGGTGTGGATCAGTCCACCAATGTCTCATTCACTCCTGAGATAGAGCTTGGTGTTATCTAAGAAGAGAAGCTAATCCCTCCTTTCCAGCAGCTTTTGCAACCCAAATTATGATCTGAATGTGATGATGTGCTAATTTTGATTTCGTGAGAAATAGAAAAAGATCAACAAAATACATCTGAACCAAACAGAAGTTATCAGGTTTGCAAATTATTTTGCATTCCTGTTTTTCCAGAGAACCCAGAGATGTGGTGCTTTTGTATTTATCAGGAAATAACATCAGTTATGCAAATGTAAACTATCCTAAAGCTTCAGGCCAACAACTTCAATGACTTTCTTTCACTGCAGTTGTTTCCATGCTGATTATTTATAGACTATTTCAAAGATTTTGATACCCTCTATCACAATGAGGATCATTCATAAATAAAGGTTTAATAAATAAAGGTGATGTGATATGGTATAATAGATTGGAGGAGAAAAAAAGTGAGGACAATTAATACAAAGTGTTTGGTAGTAAGGAGGACATCAAAAGAAACCACACTACGACACAGATCACCACAGAGGTCTTAGCTGGGCAGGAAATCATCAAGTACCTGCAATGCAAGAAACACAGCCTTGGAATCAGTAGCGGTTTTAGATACGGGCGACACGGGTGGTTGCCCGGGGCGGCATGGTGTTGGGGGTGGCATCACAGGTCTCGGCAAAAAAGAAAATGCTCGTACTCATGCTGCCCCGATGTCAGCCAGCGCATACTGGGAATGGTACAGGCAACGATCAGTTTTCTATCGCCCATTTGCTGGGAGTAAGGGCGCCCTCCGTTTGCGAGGTGCGCCTGCTGCTTGCGGC